TTGAGTACAATTTTCATAAAACCAAAAATTGCTTGGAGCTCACTATGTAGTGTTTAAGCATACCGGACAATATTGCAGCCAAGCGACAAGGAGCACGAAGGAACGCCATCAACGTTTGTAGACCCCGAATTGGAAGCAACTTTGGACGAAGCTACTTGCCAAACAGAAGAACAACTTGCCTGCAATAATCGGCGGGACTAAACCAGACATTTCATCAGCCATTTGTATGGTTCAGCAAGTCGAAAACTGGGCGCTTCACAACCAAGAGATATCGAACGCCGTGTGTCGTTTTTGCATTATATTCTTCCGGACGGCGAACCCGGACCACCGACATCAAAGCCAAATATCCATGGCAGCAATATTGCAGCTCCGAATTCGGTCGGAGCAGAAGAGAATCCTGTACCTCAAGCTTCTAAAAAGTGGTCAAACGATCGGCGGGTCTGTCTACAGACAAGTAAACTGCCGGCAACCAGACAAGAGTCATTATTGATCTTCCACCACGATAAGGCTCGGCCGCATATTGCACAAGTGGTCAAAACTTATCTCGACGGTAACGGATGGGAAGTCCTAACCCACTCGCCTTATTTCCCATGTCTAGTTTTGTTAATTAATCACTTGCCAGCGTCAAAACATTTTAATTAAAAGTTCTTGGACAAAAACTAGCTGAGTAACAAAGGAAGTCAAAAAGGTTTTGCATAATAAAAGACTTTTTCAGAAACAATATATGTATGTATGTATTTATGTATATATGTAGGTATTGTGTTTTATTGAATTCGAATGCTAAATAAATCAGAATCAAAAGAACATGCAATAAAATGCTGCGAACAAAAAATTAAGCTGAACAAAAAAAGTTAATTAAATCGAAAAGTCGGTAGATGTGGCAAGCAGCAGAGTTGAATTGTGCTAGTGACAACAATAATCCAGTATGTATATGTATTGGAAAAGGCAAAAACAAAATAAAAAACAACATTAAAAAACCCATTTAAATTGAATGCAGCATGGAAATCTGGCAAAAACAATAGACGCAAAAACAAAAGAGTTGCAGCAGAATGGCTATAAAATCAGTCACCACTACTCATCGCGTACATATGAATGTTTTTTTTGAAAAGTTTTGTAGTATATCTGTTTGTGCATACATATGTACATATGCAACAGTGTTGCCATTTATTTTATTTTTTATAAACAAAAATCGCTAGAATCCCGCTAAATAATTTAAATTCTGTAAACTTTCACGAAAAATTAATTTCTTTAATCATTTTCAGTTCAATTTTATTTGAATAGGGTACGACCTTCACCCACCTGTTTAATGGATGAAATCTATTTTGTATGAAATTTAACGTGTTAGTAAATATTTCGTGAGTGGGTTGGCAGAAAAAAATCCTGGCCAGGATATTTTTTGATAATTATTCAAAAATTATTATTATTATTTTGTTTTTTTTAATTTTGCACTCATTTGTTTAATAAATATAATGTGTTAAACACATGGGTGAAAATTACTAGTATTACTTACCTGCCAACCACACTGCGTCGAATTTTTGCTTGTAGGTTTTGGCATTACAAAAGTGTTAGTTAGATAAGTGACGGTAATCATTATGAGTAAAATAATTTCAAGCAGCATTTAATCATTATTTTGTGATTTTAATTTTTTCGCTTAAAAATAATAATTATTATTGAAATTTTGGGCTGAAAAGTTTTGGACTTTTCTCCTTTTATTAGGGTGTCGCTACTTCTGAAAAGGATACGCCGGAAATCACGCTGGTATAGATTTTGAGTTTTTTGAATTATTGTTATTCTTAAGTGAAAAAATAGAACTCAGCAATAATTATCTTTGAATCGAAAAAATAAAACTCAAATATTAATTATTATTTTTAATCTTTATTGATTAAACTCACAACAACAACACAACAACAAACACAAATACGTGAGTGTAGTTAAAATTATTTTTTTTACTACGTTTATAACTTTTTGATTTTTTAGGTTAAAATTAAAAAAAAAATTAATTATTTTCCGTCCCTGGTTTTGATGCAATGTTGAAAACGCGAAAAGAGTTAAACGTCAAAAAATTAGAGATGACAAGTAACGTTTCAGTGTCCTATCGATTTTTTGCATTGCAAAATGTAAATGTAATACTGTGTTTACATAAGGCTATTTTAGAGGCAGCTTTTAGTTGAAAGTGGTGTAAACTGCCTTTCAACTAACTGACGAAGTTGTAAACACCCAATAAAGAATTGCGATAATTATGAATAAAATCGATAAACGCTAAAAATCCCGCTAGTCACCGAATTACAATTTTTCCCGCTAAGTAGAAAAAAAATCGGTAGATCTAGTGGAAAAATCACTAAAATGGCAATACTGATATGCAATAAACAGCGAGCAGACAGAACGGCAGGTAAATACGACACGGCGTATGGACAACGAAAACATCAAAACAAAACTTTGGGCGAAACAAGAAAAAAACCATAAACAAAAAATAATTTCGTTAAATAAGAATTTTGTATTGTAGAAAAAAGAGTAAATGATTTTACTAAAGACTATCTCATTTGAAAAATTGCGCTCAGCAAATAACTATGTGTTGAGTGCATTAGAATCACAACACACATTGGCATGCAAATATACCCTGTAGGAAAATCAAATGTTTATATACTGATGCCATTCTAGTGAATTTGGTTGCGTATTTGAGGTGATTGGTCTTAGGATTAATGAACGGATAAGCGCTTGGAGTGTCTGGAACCTGTATAGAGCAGGTGTCTCTAGTGTCCGACTGCTGGATGTCCTTGATAAATATGTAAATAGTATAAGGCTGGCAACACGATAGCATATAGCAAATTGACTTAATCATTAAGGCTAAATTCAACAAGATGAGCTTACGCTACGACCGAAGAGAAGCACGATGATACCAAAGATAGAATTGCTATTTAAGCCACTAAGAAACATACGGACGCTGGCGCCGGCATGAATTTAAAATTGTCTTTGTGACTTTGACGCCAAGGTGGGCTTATTCTGAACAAATATTTAGTTGGAAAATCTAGCAATAAAGAGAATACTTCCAACAATGAGGAAAGTCTGAACGCCTTTGACACGGCACGAAAAGTGGAAGTAAGTAAATAATACCAGACACGAGCACCGAAACATCCATAAAGTCGTTTTTGGCTCCCTCTGATCAAAGACTGAAAACTACGGACGGAAGATACGCTTCGACCGTACTTGATATGCGTTCCATCTAAGGTCCGAATGCGCGGAATATTTGACATAGAAAAGCTACAGTCGCAACGGCTAGCCGATAACTTTTCCAACCGGCTTTCAATCCTGAAGTTGAAGATGATAATCTTAACGAAGTATACTTGAAAGCTTTCGAAAAGCATACGCATTTGATGATGGAAACCTCAAGCCAATTTTAGAGATGATACTCACGTTAGATCGACAAAGAGGAGGCGACAGTGCACCGGCAGCGAAGAGCTAGTAGGGTTCATTTACTAGCCGTAAATGGTGATTCAAAATGAAGAATACCGGAAGATTGGAATCTTAGTGTACTTTTTCGCTTTTCCACTTTTGACAGCACGAAGAGAAGCTGGATCCCCGTCAAATTCATACGGCTGTGTAGAGTGACGTATAGAAACTTACTTACGTATGCATGCATATATTTGGATGACATTCAGTGATATCGTTGGCCTCAACATCAATGCAGTTGGGGGCAAATTCCTCTAGCTTAAGGGAAGAGGCGAAAGGGGTAGTTTTAGCCCTGAACGATTACAAGAGACAATGAAAAAATACAACTTCTAAGTAATATGTAGTGAATGATTTTGTATATATTTAGGATCCAGTATTAACGCCACCAATGAGGTCAATGGAGAGCATGCAAAGAATAAAACGTGCGAACGTGGTAATAATTCCAAGTCAGGGTGAAAAAAAATCACGCCTACACATGTTTCATGACGTCTGTTCTTGTTTAAACGCGAACTGGCAATCGACTGATGTGCTAAATAATCAGAATTAGTCATCCGTTTGAAATGAATTTTAATACTTTCAAATTTTCCTGCAGGGTATTTTTTAACTGATCAAATACAATGCACCTCTCACTAACACCAGCACACCAAACGGCAGTTACAGATATTTAACAGCTCAGCAAACACCTGAGAGAATTTGCTTACCTGTCACCATGCTTGTTTTGAGATTGCGTAGGGTATTTTTGTATAAAACGTGCTCCTCGTAAGTGTGTGTGCATGGCAGTTAAATTTGTGTGAGTGAGCTGGCTGGACGATTGTATGCACATACTTTTAAATTGAAAGCTACTACATATGTATGTATGTATGTACCAACTGACGTACATATTCAGATTGGACGAAGCAGAGAGACCGATAATTTGTATTCTTTTGTTGACAGCGATTGATTTAATTAGATATTTATAAACGCAGATGGATTAAGTTTCATTTTACTTCTTCAAAATCAAAAGTCCATTTCATTAAAAATTTTGCTTTATATGTATTAATTTATAAGTGTACATATGTACATTAGACCGTACCACCCTACAAGCATAATAATTTCGAAAACCATTTTTTTTTTTGTCCGAACCTTTTTTTGCATTTTTCGGTGAAACCTACATCCGACATAAAAATTTTCCTGCTGGGATCATCATAACACTTAACAAAAGTTTAGTAGTTTCTGGTTAGCTTTAATTTACGGACATTAGGTTGGCACATTAGGTTGATAAGAACTGAGTTCTGGTGGGTAAGTACTTGAACGGGGCACTTGTTGAACTTTACAACAAAAAAATTGTCTCCTTCGAAGTCCTTGCCGAAGATATGACGAAAAATGTACGAAGGCGACCCCTGCGTTCAGCAAAAAAAAACATTTTTATTTTGAAACTGGGCTTGCAAAAATACTTTAAACTCAGGGGTGTACCAACGTTTTTTTTTTCTGGCTCGGTCTAATGTATGCACACGCACATAAGCGTTTGTTTGTTTGTGCAACGTTCACATTGCATAACGGCACTTGTAACTTACCAGAAATACCAGCACACTTGCTGTTGCATTAATGGCGGCGGCTACTGACGAGTATTGTTGTTGTTGGTGGCGGTGTTGCTTGCAACAAACGCGGCAACAGCTGTTTAAGCCCTTAGCCACTGAATATGAATTGAATTTCGTTCGATCGGCTGGCAAGTGGGCAGGCAGCTGAGCTAGTTAAGCTGGTAGCCAGCAGGGAAACGTTTATGGCACTCGTGGTTGGACGCTGGTTAGTTAGCTGAAATGGTAATTGAATGAGACGAGTTACGGCTACGGTTGATGCATGGAACTGACTGACTGACTGACTGCGTTTGCGCGCTTGGACTGGTTGGCTGGTTTTTAGCGAGTAGAAAATCAAGCTTTTGTATGGCTCGCACGCGGGCAAATAAATGTCTACAACAAACGATATATTATATGCATATATATGTATGTATGTATGTGCACATTAGCAGCAGAAGTTGGTTTTGTTTTCTGTGGCCAGTTGGTTTCTGCTTCGTTGGCTCTTTATTGTTGCACTGTAACCGCAGCAGCGTGTCGATAAAGTAACAAACAAAAATTAATGCACTCCTACATACATACACACATAGTCGCAAGGCAGTTACACACATACATAAATATGTAGCAGTGGTTCTCAACCTGATTTTTCTCACCGCTGAATGCGGCTCTAACATTCATAAGTCAGGCAACTTTACTTTCAAACACTTGTCCTACCAGAGCTTTTAAAAAGTTTGTTGTGCTCATGTTGTAAGTGTGTGGCGAAGGAAAATAAATAGTCCTTTAAGTTTTCTTATGGTGCGCCGAAAAGGGCTTTTCAATAAACTTAATAAACTCCATCATCATCCCACCCACCAAAAGAAGGAAGCTGAACCTGATAAATCCATATTGAGATGGATGAATATGAGTTCTTACAAGAGGCGAAATATCTACTAACTGGAACTGGAATTCACATCCAAAAACGAACGAATTGAAATCTGTGCACGCTAATCACTTCGTAGAGGGACTAATGGGGTTCCACTATATATCAACATCATGTCAAACAGTGAGGCAGCATTGAGAGCATTGGAATCATTTAAAACGTTGTCAAGTCCGGTAGACAAATGCTAAAGTGTACTGCGCAGACTAAGAATCCGTAACAAGATTGTGGAGGGTTTCAGGTCATTAGAACATTGGTGGCAATGAAAGGACTACCAATCTCGTAAAGCGTGGAGTTTTTCTGTGGTCCACCCAAGGGATAAAACGCGAAGCTCTTAAAAAGATGGGAAGACTCTTAGGCTCCGTAAATTCTCGTATTTCTCTCTCATGGAGTCTATGAACGTCTTGCTGAGCCTTAGCCGGGAGGGTCTATGAAATATTTTCGAACGAATTTCCGTCATCCCTTGTCAAGCTTGGTTTGCAGACAAACTGGTTTCGGTGTTGTACCATCATCAGTGTAATTTTTCGTTCTGTCTGGTTCGAGTTTTTGTTCTTAATTTATGTTTATTTATCTCGGGTAATGTGATTTTCGTTGATGATTAATTATTATTAGATATGGTCTTTCCTTTTTTTTAGAAGCAGGTAATAGTTTTCTTTTATATCTTTCCAAATTTTTCATTGCTTCGTTCGGCGTCACTTGTGCTGGTACCACTACATATAATTGAACTCAACAAACTGTTTCTTAATAATTGAAATTCATGGCGTAGAGTCTCTACACGATATACATATTTATCGAGGCTTTCCTCTATTTCGAGAAGGTTATGTTCTTCAAAATCTACAATTATCTATTGGCTGCCAAACACAAATCAAATGACTAGTGGCACGCGTACCACAGTTTAAGAAGCGCTGATATAAGTACCTACAGTTACTGATAGTATAACAGTCACTTTAAAGTTTAAACGTATTTATGTTATTATGTACGCAGACATTAGTATATACATACATATATACGATGTGTATTTGTCAGTATATAACAAATTTGGTCGGCATATCGACTTTTGCATTTTCCAACTGCTTTGCACGTAAAATTAAAGAAAAAAGTATTTTTTAGCAATAATCAGCTTTGAGATATCATTATATGCACACACATGCATGCATACACACCTACGAATAAAATCGTGTTTTGCCAATCTATACACACACATACGCAGGCACACATATGTACATGCATATCTCACCTATACATACGAATTCGCTGCAGAGCGTTGCACAGTGGGTTCGTTTCATACAAAAGTTGGTCATAAATAGTAAAAATGGACCTACAATTTTGAGATTAAGTACACATGCTTCTTTAATGAATATCAATAAATAGTGCAAAAATGAACTGTCTGCAAATACGCCCACATCCCATATAACGGGAATTTTGAAAAACGTTTAAAATGCAACATTTTCAAAACTGATAATTAATTAGAATGGTCTAACTCGATATATAAGGATATATTTGAAGCAGGCACCGTAAAAGTTACATATTTTATTAAAAAAATCGCGCGTTAACAATTATTTTTTGACTCTTATTTAATTACTCCTTAAATAAAAGTTTTTTTCTGATTTTTTTTTTATAAATCCAAAATATCAATTATTTTTGATTTTTATCTAAATACCCTGTAAATAACAGTTATTTTTGATTTTTAAATTATACAGTGGCGGCCAAAAATGGATGAATGGTGTTTCATTTTTAATATTTACAATGTTTTTCAAGCTATAATTTTTTTGGTATTTTTTTTTTATAAAAATATGGTTCATGCTTTAACAAAAACCATATAAATCGTATTTTCAAACTTTACACATAATTTAGAAAAATTACACAAATTTGTATCTTAATTTCGAGCTTTTTAACTAGAATTTTCAAAACTTTTTGGGTACGTAGTTAACTGATAAAAAATTCGCATTGATTTTTAATAATGTTTTTTTTCTGACCGTATTTCGGGTTTTCTCATATAAACTGGCGTTCACTTTTTTTATTTTTTTCCCAAACAGTCTTTCACAAATTTTCTGAGATACGGTGTTTTCGAACCGGCGGCCGAGATAGGTCGATATAAGAATATTCGTTAGCAAATAAGTTAGTGAGAGCACTTCATGGCAAAGTATAACGCTAAACGTGAAATAATTTCAAAACTGTTTTTGTTTTTTCTTATCCTAGGTACGATCTGTCGATCAGCATTAAAAAAAAAACGGATTTATTAACACTTAAATTTCTTTTGCATTTTTGGCCGCAATCTCCCACTGTGCGTCGGTTTATAGCTTCAGTATGACTTTGTAGTTGTTATTATTGTGCCAATGTTGATGACGATGATAAATTTTGTTTTATTTACGAAAGTTGTTATTGCATTTAAACGTGTTCATATTCATAGATATACAATACTTATCAGCTTTGGTTACCTTTAGTTAGTGCAAAAATTTATTTATTTATTTTTAGGTAATTTTTTCTGTTAAAATTTTTAAGTCACACGTGTTTTTTGCTACTTTTCAACAAACTTTACACGAGTTAGATTTGTATTTTTTATTTTGTACTATGTAGTTCATATTACACTACTTTATAAACAAATTCGTTACAATTAAAAATATGTATGTATGTATAAAGCACCAGACAGCGATATAGCAAAAAAGCAAACAGAACAGAAAAGAATTAGCTGCAGCAAAATAAAATGCAGCGGGGAAGAATTTCGTGCATTGCTGCAGTGGCTTTGCAGCTTTGTGAATTTTTCGCTGATATTGCGAATTTTTCAAATCTTTTTGTTGTTATTGGTATACATAGCTACATATGTATGTATGTATGTTTTAGCACTTTAACGGCAAGATAGACGCGAATAAATTCATAGTACATTGCAATGCTGAAAAACTGAAAATAACGCGCAGAAAGAAACACTGAAATTAAAATTTCGCTGGCACTTCGAAAACATTTGCGAAAATCACTCAAATATAATTTTGGCAAACGCAAAGGACATAAAAACGCACACCGAATATATACATATATATATATATATGTATGTATATAAAATACTATATGTGTGTATAGGTACATACATATGTATGTACGAAGGAAAACGCTTTCGTATTCTTTTAAATTCTTTTGCGAATCCATCATGGCACCACCCAGTCCGGTTCGCATTCTCGTACCAGTTTTTACTTCTTTTTAATTTGTTTTTGTTTTTTTTTTGTTTTTGCTCTGCTTTCTGGTTTAGTACCTACAGGCCATATAAAATTTAATGCCTTCACTCACTTCTTTTGTTTTTTGTTTTTGTTTGTATTTTTTTGTTCGTCACTCGCATTTTATTTTAAACTTTAGATTTTTTCATTTTTGCAACTTTTGTGGCTAGATTTTTTTAATTTTATGTGTGTTTTTTGTTTTCACTCGCTTCTTGTTGTTGCTGTTGCTGTGCACTTTACTGGTGGCCAAAATACAAAATACTTCAACAAGAACAAGTCGTCGTCGTTGGACGGCAAACTGCTGCTGGCAACGCATCAGCAGCAGCCGTAATACTCGTACCAACAAGTTCTTTATTTCTTTCTTAAATACTCGTCATTTACGTGCTGTTGTTGTTGTTGTTGTGGTTGTATGCTTTTTCGTTTTTTTCACTTGTGTTTTTTTATTTAACTTTTTTCTTGATTTTTATTATTTTTTTAATTCCACTTTTATGTGCTGAGGCTGGTTCTGGCCCGCGGTGCGACAACTTACTTACTTACTCACTTACTCGCTCACTCACTACAACAACCAAAAAACAAAAAAAAAACTTACTTGAGAATATATTAACTGCTAGCTAGTAGCTGTTGGCAATTGTTTGCAGACATCCGCTTATCGCCCGACGATCGAACAAACGCGAATAAGCCAAATTGTAGACTGATTTGAAGCGCCACATCGTAAATGGCACAAACGCTCTGCGGCGGAGGAGATCGCACCTCGCCAACTCATTGCGCACACAGCTCGTCAGCGTACTCAGCTACGAGCAACCAACCAGTTTGTTTGGCTGACTAGCAGGCCGAGCTGGCAGGCATCAAGCAGTCAACAAGTGGGAGCTCGAATGTACGTGTATATGTATTTATGTAGGTACCTACATATGTGTGTAGAGATCAGGGCCAAGCGTCTACCAATTGGTTCTTTTATATCTCACACTTACATGGGTAAAACGAGTATGACCCTATAGGAAAAATACCTTACGCGAACAGTAATGAAAAAAGTAGCGGAAATTTTTAAATTTGGCTAATCGTTAAGGTATTGGATTGATAGCGAAGTAGCAAGCAAAGCCTTAAAGTCAGAGTGGGTGGGAATGGGAATATATTTCCCAGTTGGACTGATTAGACTAAAGCACAGGAATGATTTGGCTAGGTTACGAGCACCCTCGATCACAGGACCAGAATATGTGCAGCTGCTAAGCCCTTCCTCTCCTGTGTGAACCTGTAACGGTCTACCGATTTCGGTTTACATATCCAACACTTACGAATGTGTTCGTAGACAGTAGTACTAAAAGTCCTAAACTTATTTAAAATTAAATCACCCTGGTGATGAAAGCGTTGATAGCATCAAAGGGCTGATACTCTCGTAAAATGTTTGGGACAGAAGCCCTAAATGGTCCACTTCTTTTCTCAATAAGTTGTAGCGAGCTGACTCAGTGGCTCAAGTTCATTTTAATGAGTCAGCTATGGAGTTGACACAAATACCTACACATAACCCGTTTTCAATGACAACGAAGTATAGAGAACGTTTTCAAGAAGGATTAAAATGAGAACAGTCTGCGGAACGTTATGCTAGAGAACAAAACGAAAACAAAAGTTTTGAGAACTCAACGTTAAGAATGAGAGGGACGTCTGCGTTTTGGGGTGAAAAATAATTCCAGTGAGAACCATGATTGTTATTTTGAAGCCAAAGGAAATCTCCATCATTTCAACTTCCAGATCGTTTATGATTAGGTAAAACTGCCTATTTATGGAATACGTTTTAATTCTCTGTGGCAGAAAAGTTCGTGTCTTAAGTCTTTTGTTTATTTAATTTGCATAACTATCTTTCACTTCTTTTTTGTTCTTAATATTCAAACATTTCAAACTAATGCAACGCTATGAGAAAAATTCGGTTCGCGCGTCCACTCTTTGCGAATAGTTTAGAGAATATTTGTTCCCGTTTCGTTCTCTTTTAGAAAGTTCTTGATACTTTAGTTCTCAAATTGTACTTTGAGACAAGGTTTCTTATACTTTTATTCCCGTTTTGTTCTTCGCCAGAATGTTCCGGAGACTTTTTAACCCATTTTGTTCTCTTAGTATTGTTCGCATTTTGTTATTTTTGTGCACGTGTCACAGGGCTTTGTTCTTATATAACTCCCGGTGAGAACTTTCACCACAGTTTTCTTCTCACTTTATTTCTTGTAAAAAACCCTCGAAAGTTTTGTTCTCATTTTGGTTTGCAGTTTAGGCATTCTTGGGAACAAAACTACGAGAACGAAATTTAGTTTCGTTCATAACATTTGTTGTAGGTACCTATTTTAAGCACATATTTTTGCTGTTTCATGCCGGAGGTAACGGTAAAAGCATTTACATTTTTTTTTTCAAAGTTTATTACAACTGTTTTTAGAGTAAAAGGCAAAAACATAAAAAATTTACTTTTGTAGGTGCTTTTGTAGACTTGATTGAACGAAAAGCAACCCTGACCACAAAACCGACATTCAAAAGCAGAATTTTTATTTCATTTTCTGTTTTTGATTTGCGCAACGACCTAAAAAAATTTAAATACCCTTTTCGGTTCTTGCGGCCATGTAAATGGGTTTCTTGATGCAAGAGCAGCAAAAATATGTCTTTAAATTTTTAAAATTTTTGAAGGTAATTTTAATTTTAAAGTCAAAGTAATTGTCTCCATATCAAAAGCTTTAAAATACCGTTCTCGTTCTCGAGATATATGTTTTGGTCCCTTCTTTTCCTTTCCTCAATACAAGGTGGCGCAAAAGTAACCTTGCGATGTTTTTTGGCTGTAATTAAAAGAAAAAAGGAAAAACTTTGATTCTTCTTGTGGATTATTTTTATTTGGTCTTCTAATTTTTTTTACATCAAGTCGAGAATATGATGTCGTGTAAATGGCCGCCGCCACAGTTGATTGCCATTTGAGCCCTTTTTATGGCATTTTCCATCACTTTGGCCAAAACTTCCGGCGATAGGTCCTCACATTCTTGACGGATATTGTCTTTAAGAGCTGCAAGAGTCTGAGGCTTGTTGACATAAACCCGCGACTTCAAAAAGCCCCACAAAAAGAAGTCTGGAGCGGTCAAATCAGGCGATCTTGCTGGCCAGTGCAAATCGCCAAAACGGGAGATTAGGCGCCCGGGAAATGCATCCTTCAGCATATCGGTTGGGGCACGTGCAGTGTGCCGTTGCACCGTCCTGTTGGAACCACATGTTTTCCAATCCCAATTCATCAAGTTGCGGCAAAAAGAACTCGTTGATCATTGCTCTGTAGCGCTCACCATTCACAGTAACCGTTTGGCCCGCGACGTCTTCGAAGAAAAAAGGTCCGATGACTCCTCCAGCGATAACAGCACACCATACAGTGACTTTGAGCGGGTGTAATGGCTCTTCGTGGGTTACACGCGGATTTTCAGTGCCCCAGAAGCGTAAATTTTGCTTCACCAGTAGGCGTTGGACGGCCAGGAAATCTGCCAAACTCACCGACCGATTATTGGTCAAATAAATAGTCAGCAATATTCCGCGTTCTGGAGCAGTGTAGCGTAACATTGTTTATTAACGTGTATTTCGCATGTGTTTACTACACAAATGTCAAAACAGAACTGACATTAGGGGCCAATCGCAAAATTTATAGCATTTTCTGATTGGAGGATTACTTTAGCGCCACCTTGTACATAAATAGAGCTGCTGAGCGCTGTAGAGTTGATGAGCGCCGTAACTGGTATTAAGAGCTAACTTAGCTCGGTATAGAGCTACTCAGTATTACTGAACGACTTCTTAGCCGGGAGGATATGAGGCCTCTTACTCGCTATCGGCCGGGATATTGTTGGGTAAGTAACTACCTCGGGTTGGATCTTTCTTTATAGACGGACTGCTGGTTCTGTAATCTGTTGAGGGAAACCACAGAGAATATATCATGCGATTGGCCACGTATAAAAAATCTTAGTTAGACTGAAAAAAGTTGGGGAGAGAATATCGTCTTCAAGCAGAATCTGAAGCACCTCATAAGGGCGGAGATATTTAATGGATTCTACTTCGATTACTACTTTAAACATTTCGTGGCTCTGATGCAACCCTCTCATATTGAAATTCAGGAGGGGAGGATAAATACCAACACACTTATAGCGTTTTCTTTTCTCGAAAAAAGGCTGCACTTATTCTGTCTTGTGTTAGCGCTGTCATATTTTCATGTTCTTTTCTCAACCCTTTCACAAGGCGTCGTGTTCTTTTCTCAGCAGGTTGCGCTCTGATCCGGCGAAAGTGCTGCCTTTTCTGTCCTCAAATAAACGTGAGGGTGAGAGTTGCATGGTTGATTTCTAATCTAAACTTGTAAAAATGCAATTATTTTCCCTATCAGAAATAAGTGTTTTACTTTAAAATTGTTAAACACTTACAGGCCAAGTGAATAATTCAGCTTTATTAAGTTCTATAAATAAATTGTGATGGAGTAGTGTATTTTCTGTTTCATTCTCATATAAAGAACGGAACATTTTCTCAGGTTTCAGGGCAACGCAAAGCAAGAGTTTCCATATAAAAGAGCAGAACTTTTTTTGAGAAAAGAAAACGCTATTAGTACCCACTCACGCTGAAGTCTAAGGCACCACACTTGTGGAGCTATCACTTTTATCTAAACACAGCTTTAGAACGCAGTAGAGGTTTTTACTCCAACGATTTTATATATAATTTCCCTATAAGATTTATATATAATTTTCCCATAAGAAATACAGTCACGCAACAATAACAATGGAAAAATGTTGAATGTCAAAAACTTTTCGAAAATATGTATTCAGGTTTCTGAAACTTCGAAAACTTACAAAAAATATGTGTCTCAATTTACAAACTGAGAACTGAGTATTTTCCAGTCTACCCTTTTGTTTATTTTGGCAGACGGCTAAAAATTGATATTGAAATTATTCTAACCACTTTTACTTTACATACTTTGGAATATTTTTAAGTGCGTCGGTCTTGTAAAACCTTCGTTACGAAAGCTTTTCTCAAAATACTTCGAGATTGTTCCCAAAGTTCCATTTATGTAATGAGATTGCTACAGGGTCTTATTTTTATGTGAAAAGAAGTGACTAAATTGGAAATCTTTATACGTATCCGAGAAACATGTTAGTCCTACTCTCGCTCACAAACGATCTCTCGGATTCCTCATAAACATACATACATACATATGCATTGAGTTTGAATGTATCTGTGAGTATCCACCAACGCCGGCATAAATTATTTCATTTTACCTGTTATCGGTTAGTACCTATTTATGTACTCAAGTACCAACATACATACATACATACAGACATGTTCACACGCACTTGTAGGTGTTTATGACATTGCACCTACAATATATTTATGCATACATACTTATGTGCATACATACATACATACATATGTACATAGTATATGCTGCGGTCCCTATTCATTCATAAAAAATACAATAAAATAAGGGAAGAAGAGCAACACATTTCGCTCGACTGTTGAATTTTGCCGGTTTGTTTTTTTTCTTTATTGGTCTCTCTTTCACGCTGAATTTGAAGTTTATTCGTGCAAAATGGAATGGTGTTGCAGACATGTTCGCATTTTTATACATACTCACCTGTTGATTTTGTTTAGCGTGATATGTATTGTATGTATGTACATATGTTTAGTAACATGTTGTTGATGATATGGTTTCGAGTGAGCAGTTTTGAAAGCACTGCATGGATATGGATATCTACAATATTTAAAATTAAGCTGGGAATTTGAGTTTACAGGAAAACGGTACAAATTTATTCTCTTTACTCCACTTTATATTATTTATT